GTTGTCTATGGTCAGCAAATATGAGCAGTATACGAGACTCGAACTTCAAATCAAGGCTATTTGATATATTCGGGGCGAGTACCACATGAAAATTGTTTTCAGTTGAGAGAAACGTGTGGCCGTGATCTATATTTTTACATATAAGAATAGGACAATTTGAAGGTCGAAAGTCAAAATATACTTCTTTTAATCATTCTGGTAGAGCTGAGAGTTCAACCAAGTGAAAGTTCTTCCAACCCTTGTTCAATTAATTATTTACTTCTTCATTCATTCTGGGACAACCTCGGTACTAGTACCATCTTTTCCTCGAATGACCAGCGTCTTTGTGTTGACGGTGTAAACTGTTCCATCGCTGTTGTCACAGATCCCAACCACCTGGTACACACTGACTTCATCCCCTGGTTTGACCGGTATGCGAGCTTGGTGACTCTCCTCCCGAGAGAAGGAGCTGGTGGAACTATAACTCCAGTCGAATCCTGTGGTCTTAGAGTAACCGAGGTCAACCGAGACGATGCTCTTCAGGTTCGCTCAAACAATCGCAGATATGGAGTCGCTGCTGCTTCCACCGGCTGAGCTGGTTCGTGAGGATGTGGTCCCCTCAGTGATTGTAACCACCTTGGTGACTATTCCGTCACTCAGCTCGTTTCTTAACGTTGAAATATGGTCAAGCTGTTTAAATAATTCATATATAGAAAATATATTCACATCAGAAGTCCTGAAACGACCAAGATAAATGATTGTTATTATGCTAAATAGAGTGCTTTTCATTTGAGTGCGGAAAAGTAATTGGTTTTGCAAGATTTTAAGAACGTATCATTAAAGCTTTAATAAATGCAAAGGCTTGTATAGAAAAACAGCAAGTTAAAACGACTATTGTTTTGTTTGTTCTACTAGTCTAGTTCTTCTTGCCTGAAACGTTCAAAATGTTTAAATGATGCTGTTTGTAGTGGTCAATGCGCCTAGGTCTCACCTATAGCTAGTTCACAGGCATGCCACTTAAACTGAAAGAAAGAAATGTATCTACGAAACATGCCATGTCTATACAGATCTCAAGTTCCTAGGCTCATATTATTATAAACAAAGGGCAGAGGGAATGGTAATAAATTCTTTACCTTATCCGCTGGTTTGCAGTCAATCTTGCATC